CGGGAAAAGATCTACCTTACTCCACCAATCTGAAAGTTCCAGAGCAGAGCTTGAGCATGCTGGACTAAGCACTGAGAAGACAGACACCCCTTACTGGACAAAGATGAGGGTATCTTCAATCGACCGGAAGTCACGAGTTGAGCGCAGTCGGGCAAAGAAAGTACATTGTCCAGGACGTTCTCCCTCTAGGGCCGAGAAGCTGCTTTGACTTGTCCTTTTTCAAAAGGGGACACATAACAGACAGTGCTTACCTTGTATATCAAAAGCACTTTCACTAAAACGGAAATCAGTGTGACTGCGCATACGACAATCACAGGTGACGGCGGCATCTCCCATCCTTCTAAGTCCTGCCTGCGGAGAGGGCTTCGATGCCAACTACTCTCGTCATGAACTCTTCTTGTCCCGTTCCACAAGACGCGGTCGATTAGTACAACTTTAACAGAGTCTGGTAGTCAGAAGAGCAGTAGACAGATCGTCAGGCGCTGCAAAAGGTGCGAATCAGCGCTGCGACAGCGCAGTTTTTTCACGGACAAACGATTGATGTTGTTTGATCAACTCACCATCACAATCAATCGTCGCGACTAGGTTTCCGTAAAAAACAGTTTGAATGTTTGAATGGCTCGCAGTGCAGTAACGCACCAGCATCCCAGCCCGTCCTTTTGCAGTCCATGCATTAGTATGCATGTGCAAGTCGACGAACAAGTGCTACAACGGGACACTGCGCACGTACATGCCAGAGCCCAGAGGTGGGTTGGAGGGTTCCGAAAGCCTATGATTTTGATCCACTGATTGGAACCATGCGGCAAAGATTCTTGAATGCTGGATTTGGGCTCTCCTGAGTGTGTTCTGTTCTTTGACCAAAATTTCGAGTGAAACAGACGGTATTCGGATAGAGCCCTGCAACATGCCGTACGTTCTGCACTGCACTGCATTTTACTGCATTGCAGTGCAGTTGCAGTCGCTGAAACGATGAAAAAATGCAGATGCAGTGCAGTTGCAGTTCCGGGAAACCGCATGCAGTGCAGATGCAGCACGGGTTTTCGCTACTGTTGCAGGGCTCTGATTCTAATTATTACAATTGATTTCCTATTATTATGATTAAAATAACACTGTCTGAATTTCAGATAGAAAGGTTTGCATCGCAATCACACGATTACAACAGGCTGCATAACTTGATGAATTCACATCAGAGCTCTAATTCCGTTTTCTTCACCGATCTACCAGTGTGCTCTTCGCTTGATATTCCGTATATTGGAGCTCCTACTTTGAAAAGAGCAGTGAGGATGAGTGCTGAAGGTATGGAGGAGGATCTCGAGAGGGACGAAGCTGAGAGAGGGTCGCTCGCTGATGGTGAGAACAGCGCTGCAGAATCGGAAACTGATAATGACAACCCGGATCGTGTTCGACAGACTGCTGTCCAGTTGGAAGCAAGGTAACACTGCCAATCCCATATGCCAGAGTATATTGAAGCTTGCGAAAGAATCAGAGCTCTAATACAAAACTTTGCAGTAAAATGTCCATCAAAGATGTAGAAAGAGCTGTTAAGGAAAAGCGTTTTGTTGCTGCTGATGCTGATCCGTCTAAAAGAAGGAATGGAGCCAAGTTCTGGAGCTACTTTAGGAAGCTGCAGGATGAAGCCTAGGGATGCCCTTTGGGCTACATCATCTGCCTACGATGCCGCCAGATCTTCAAGTATTCGCGAACATCGGGTACCGTGGTGTACAAGCGTCACATCAGCGCTTGTGGCAAGGCAAACAATCAACCCCTTATCACCGGCTTTGCTGTCAGTACGTTGCCCAACTCCATCCCCGAAGCGGCGAAGCAGAAGGTGTCGCAAGCTTGTGCCCGATACTGCGCCCGAGACAACAAAAGCTTTGAAGAAATCAGGGGGAAAGGCTTCAAGGACCTGATCGACGAAGTTATAGACGTTGCCTTCAAATACAACTCCTCCGGTAAATTTACGGCTGAAAACTCTTGCCCGATCCGACCACTGTCAGCAGATACGTGGGGGAGGAAGCAAAAAGACTGCGTCAGAAGTTGCTAGCTGAAACGAAGCCGATTCTGACAGTGCAGAGAGGTGGGATAACTTTGGATTTTTGGGAATTTTAACTACCTCGGTAATTTTAACTCTATGGTTTACTATTTCGCTTTCTTATAGCATTTTATTGCGCATGTTACTGCTACATCTATTGCTGCTGTTGCAGGTGTAACCGCACATTACTTCAAAGGATCGGTGCTTTAAGAAAAGTTGCTGTTATGTGCTGAATGGGACACGATGGACCGGAAAACTGCGGAGATAGTTCGCGCGTTTCTGTTTCGCAAGCTGGCCACGATCAAGCTACTGGAATCAGAGCTTAAGAACTTCATCTACGTCACCGATGCAGGCTCCAATGTCGAAGCAGCGTTTACTCTACGGAACAAGCCAATCCTAAGTCGCATTACATGTGCTGGCCACCAGCTGAACACGGGTATCAGGAACTGTTTCAACACTAACCGAAAGTCCGATTTCGTGATACCTGCCGCCGCCATTCCTGCCTTGGACCTCCGGAATGAAGCAAAAGAGCAGCCATTGTCAAGCACCTGAAGACCACGCTGAAACAAGAGAGAAAGACGAGGTAAGTGCATGCTATAGGAGCGCCGAAAAAATGGTTGGGCAGAAATAAGTATGTTGATTTCCGATTTTGCAGGTGGCATTCGATGATCGACATGTTAGCTTCAGTACTCAGTGCGTATGACGAGCTGGTAGTAGTGCTTTTGGAAAGAGAAGAGGCTAATCTGCTTCCGGACCGAGAAAGGATCTAAGAGATGCACGACTTGTTCGCGCCTGTAAAGCCTGCGACGGAAATACTTTCCGCTTCCAAAAACCCAACTATCCATCTGGTGATTCCTGTCTACCATAACCTTATCCAGCACTTCGAGCATATTCACCCATCGGACCACGATGACATCAGAGCCAAGTCCACGCTTTGAATGTTTTCAAAGCCAAGCTTCAGCCAGATGACATACATAAGGTTTCCCTCGGTCAGAATAAATGCAGTGCAGTGCAGTTGCAGTTCGAAAGAACTGGATGCAGAGCAGTTGCAGAACGGTTGTTGCGTGCTGCTGCAGGGCTCTAATTCGGACGGCTCGACTCCTTGCAAAGGTCTTGGAGGTCTAGCAGCTCTCTCAGTTCTCAGAACCTGCTCGTACATTACAGCAGGGTGGGTCGTGGAGAAGCGCACGCCTTTCCGTGATCTCGCGTGCCGACTCCCGAGAGCAGTGTCAACTCAAAGAACCCAAGGGGACTATGAATCGCAAACACAACACAGAAAGCTCGAGCTCCAGACTGCACTATCCTTTTTTCAGGATGATTCCCCGATTTTTTTCTGGTTTTTACCATTTTTTTAGTTCTTGCTGAATCATGACTTTGTGTCGGATCAATCAAATTTCTACGAATCAACTGGCGAAAACAGCTAGTTGATTAACAAACAATTGATTACTCTCAGGACCCTGCCGGTCGAACAATGGTACGACCGACAGGGTATGGCGGAACTCGTGCTGCCTGCTGCGCAATCGGCTGCGACGCGGCTGTGTAACTAGGTAGGAAAGTAGATGATCGTGCAGTGGTAAAATCGCCAGGGTGGGTGGGTAGGTTGGTTGACCACTAGTGGTTGACCATTGATCTTGGTAGGTTGATCACTAAGCTTCGGCCATTGATTTTGCTATGATTGACCACCGATACTAGCCATTGGCATTGATAGGTTGACCGCCCAATCGCAGCTGGTTTGTTGGCCCGTTCTTTCTGTCTATTGGTCAATGGGCGTGGTAACAGGTCTGGGGTTTTTTAATACGTCAGATGTGAATGAACCTTGATTCCCATCCTTTGATCTTTCCGCCATAGGCTCAGGCTTGCCATAGTTTTCCCAATTTAAGGGCTTTAGAATGCCTGAACAGCTTTCTACGATGACGCAAGCGGTCTATGATTCATTCTGAAGCTCCGCTGGAAGGCCAGCCTTTTGGGCGGAGCTCGCGCAACAAACGAGATACGTTTTGCGAGTATATAAGTAAGACTGGTAAATACTTCGTTTGTTTGGCTAGGGTTGTTAACGGATGTATCACAGTCATCCGGATGGGATCAGATGTCGATCCGGATGGATCCGGAAAGCAGTCGGATGGACAGAACTTCCATCCGAATCCGTTGTTGATGGATAGGTCTTCTATCCGGATGGTCCGGATCTTATCCGGATAAAAACTCGAAGCTTGGCTTAGAGACTTACAGATGACACAACGAATTATAGTTCGTAGGTGTTGACATGCTGTGTTGCCGGACAGCATAGACGATACAATTTAATAATCCTCCGTCAACATAGTCTGCATATACTCATAAATTAAATCCGAAGACCTTGAACACAACATAGCCCGTAAGGCTTCCGGCTCTAATCGATTTCGTAGGGCAGTAATGTACCAACCACTGGTAGAAAATAACTTTCTGAAGGCACGGAAGAAGACTGAACGGCCAAGATATCTTTTGGTACACGGCACAGATCGGGGTAACGTTTCTCTGACAAATCCCGAGACTGCAAAACGTCTCTTTCAGTTGGCTCTTCGGGGTTCGAGAAGAACGCTTCGACTTCATTCACTTGAGTCATAGGCCCGACCGTTCTCGGATAGACAGATGGGTTTTAACAGCGGAAGGAGCTGTCAGGGTAGTTTCGTCGCCATTGCGCCTATAATAACACCAACACACCAAACTAGATCTTTACTCGTCTTTGACGGTTCAAGTCGATTTTACTCCGACAAATTATAATTTTTTCAATAAACAGTCAAGCTGCCGGGACATCATTCTAGTTAGCAGATCGATTCGCGCAATCCGACCGGAAGTGACAAGACAGAGATTTTCGTAAACAAAACTACGCTCAACAAACAAGCTTGCAGAGAGATTGCGAATTTCTGTCAGATTACCCTCTGGTGTATTGGACTGTCTGATTGCGCGTTAGTAGTTTTGGTTCTATCCGGATAGAAAGTCGGATGGATGGAGAGCTCATCCGGATCCCATCCGAATGGATAGGATCTCTATCAACAGCGGGAAGAATAGAATGCCTATCCAATCCAACTTTTATCCGGATTCATGCGGATCCATCCGATGTCGGACTGGATATTAACAACCCTATGTTCGGATAGAGTGATACAAGTGCCGAAGCTGTTTGCCATGCCAGGCTTTATAGCATTGGACAGCATGGCACAATCACGCGGAGAGTTGGGTTTGGCAGGCTATGGGGTTCTCTTACCAGTGGAGAAAGCAGCAAGTTTTTTCTGGCTAGTGTTCAGCATTGCTCTCAGTGAACTGACGCAGCTTTGACTTTTCTTCCCACTCTGTCCAGCAACTTTCTGCCGGATCCGTTGTTCCGTTTAAATGTTAGATTTTGAGGGCTATCTTTTTGCTCAAAGGAAAAAACATGTGCGGCCACTGCAGGCCGGTAGAATAATTAATACAGTAGTAGAGTTAATTGTGTGTTACAAACTGTACTCGAATAACACTTAAGACCACGATCCTACACACACTGTCTGATATGGCAAACTTCGACCAAACCAATCAGACATCTATTCGGACAGGTTATAATTCCCAGCTTCTCCTAAACATAAACTTCTGGTTGGCACGAACCTGTTAAGGAGCTATTAACAGGGCTGTGCCGTATGACGCAATGTTCGCGCGTTTTCACGAACAACGTTTTTTTCCTGTGTGTCTGTTTGCGGAACCAACCTCGATCTTCTTCCCTTCCTGTCAGCTTATGGTAAGACTGCTAACTGGATTTGTCGTGATTGCATACAGTAAGTACACCAGCTTTTTATTTGCAGATTATCCTGAACATCTTCGCTCTGGACAAGTACTTCATCACCGTCTGCAGCTACTGTCTGAAAGTCCATCACCGCGACTCGTCCCTGCCTTTTCCGTCTTCTTTCAGTTCATCACAGATCGGCAAGTGCCTTCACAGTGACACACGTGTGTAGCTGATCCATTTTACGTGTTCGTAGTACATGAACGTATACAGAAATCTTGTCATTTTCACACATGCAAGTGCTGTTACCCATTGATGCTGCGTACGACGTCACAAGTCACGTGTGCAACATAAGCGACTAGAGCACGTGACCGAGACGTCATGCGTGTGTCTGGGAAACATATGCAGGATATGCGCACTAGTGCATGCACATAGAGCTGCGCATGGGTGGAGCTTTACTTAGCAAGTATTTGCACATATTGGGCAACCAATCATCACTGGTTACGCAAAAGCGGCGCGTTTTGAGGGACTTACGCAGCAGCAAGTGCGTCAACCATCCAGACGTTACTTGTAACAATTCACTGATATTATTTTCTTCTGTTTTCAGGCTACACGTTCCAGAAAATGCCATTCATTGCCGACATCGCTCTGAAACCAGAGTTTCTTCAAGACCGCCCCAATGTAATGGCTTCGTTTCTTTAAAGAATTTGAGATTTAATTATTTTAAAAAATTTAATTGATATTTAATTCCAGTATCGAGCAGAACTTTTTCCAGATAGGGATGAGGGCAATGCGGTGTTTTTCGAGACACCGCATTGTAATCTAGAGTAAGTGCTATGGGCAGCTGCTGGTCGCGACCTCAGCTGAAGCATTAGTTAGTTGTTAGTAACGTTACAATACCTTAAAAAGATCGAAACTCAACCTCGTATCACCTCCATCCGTATACAAAAACTCCCACGCTGGAAAATCTGAAAAGACTCTTTACTTCAGATGATCGAGGCTTACTTTAGGACTTAGCGCTTGCTGTATGTAGTTTACTTGCAGAAACAGAGATTTCTTCGTTGTGGAGTTTTCTTCCTACTGGATGAATTCTCTGAAGAGGCAGCGCATGGCAGAGCGTAAGTCCAAAGCTTTTGCCAGCAAGGCGAAAAATGTGCTTGCTCGAAAATCCAAAAGAGAGAAATCTGGAAAATCGCAGAAAGTTTCATGTGTGAATCGCCAAATTGCAAAGTTTCCCATGGGCAAATAAAATCACTCACATTGGTGAAGTCGAAAGTCAAGTTATTGTTATCTCGTTATCACTTATCTACCCTGTTCTGTCTCCAGTTGATCCGGTAATTTCAAATAATAGATGGTGTAAGTCTAAAGTAAATGGAGTGATGTCTCACTAAGTAAACGTGTTCTGCCTTGTCGGTTCGATGGAGCTCCGCAATTCACCATTCACAGGTAAGTCACGCCCCGTGCACATAGCTGATCCGCCCTCGACTTGATGCATTTTCATGTTGACCAATGAGGCGAGTAGCTATATTTTTGAAATTTCTGTTTTCACCTCTATTCGGGCGGAGTTACATTATCCACTCCCAGTGGAGAAATCGTACGTCATCCAACTCTCCTCGTGATTTTCCATCAGAATTTTAGTACATTCTGCACGTGCATCACTCTGGTTCGGGCAACTATCAACTGCTTTCCAAAGAGTAAAAAAAACTGTAATGGAAGGGTGTAAAGAAAAGAAATGTTTCGCGAGTCGGACAAGACAAAATCGGAAAGACAGAGTGGTATTCCACCAAACCACATGGAGAACTTCACCAAAATCTTCATTTAAACTTTATAATCAAAACTATCACTATGAAAACTAAGAAGGCAAAGCCGAGGAGTTTCCATGTGATAGATCCACCGTTGGCACGCTGGAGCTTCTTTAGACGGGACATGGCGTTGCCCAGAAAGCCCGATGACGTGTCCAACTCCGAGTCCTACGAAAAATGCAGTCTCAATCAGTAACAGAATCTTCGCGATGGACCCTGTACAGTGCAAGAGAGTCTCTCCGCCCGCAAACGTACCATTTCGCCAAGCATCCTGTTTTGGCTCCTGACTTCGTTCCCGATATCAATAGTCAGCTACGGAGGTGGGTACATAATCTGTTCATCAATCAACAATCAAGGAAACTACAAGCCTTACAGATTTCAACGCAGAGATCTTTTGTCCTAGTGCACTGGTCACTTCTTCGTTCTGCTGATCGAACAGACTACGGTTCCGCATCCCGTTGTTGGGCTCTGTTGAAGGCGCACCATCGCCGTAGGGGATCGACTGTCTGGTTTCTGCAAGGGGAATGGAGTATGTGTCATTGAACACGCAAATGAAATAGCGACTGACATTCTCGCAACGACGCAACTTACGTAGTTTTGATGAGCGATACATCGTGTACCGATAATTGTTCGTGCCAGAGTTCAGTGGTCCAAGTTAAGAAACATAGTACCAGAGATAACAGCGCTGACAGCATGGGAAAGCACAGCCACCCCAAAGACGCTGATGGAAGAATTTCGAAGAAACTTTTGGAAATTCTGAAAATATTTTCTCAGGAGTCCGCAGTGTTGTCCAGGTAAACATTCCGTGAAATGCAGAATGGCCTGGCAAAATCGCTGAGTCATGATTAATTCAGCAAAATTGTCCCAAAAGCGAATGACTTGATTAGCTGATCGAATGCCGAAACATATGACTGCTAGCGTTGGTTTTGATCGAGGGATGGACTTTTTGGCAAGCCAAGTGAAAACTCGACTGCGTCCCAATCCCTTCACCTGAATGTTTACCTGGACAGCACTAGGAGTCAGGAATAGACCAGACCAGCCAATCAAAATCGGCCAATCAACAGCATTGTGGTTGAGTCGAACTTGTGGAGTAGTATTGTGGAATTCAAGTCTAATCAGAGCAACCGGAAGTGGTGACGTCAGCGAGCCAGTGGTGAGCTTGGAGTGGGGCTTTCTTCACTGTTCAGATAATTTACTGCAGACAGAATATGGATGAGAAAGACATCTTGAAACAAGACGAACAGCAGGTCTCGTCCAGAGAAGTTAAAAGAAAAACCAGCCTACTTCAACCGAAGAGATGGTCAATAAACCACGGAGAACCCAATATGAGCCCACTAAAAAGCATACAGTGCAATGTAAGCCACAACTTGGGACAAAACGCCTCGGCAGGACAGCAAAAGCTGTGGATGAACCGCGCACCAAGGAAATCCAAATAAGAAGGGAGCACAATTAAATGTCATGTTTTGTGCAACACAAAAACTGCCAAAAGGCGACGGATGATCACAAAAGCTAAACACCAAAACAAGATATGAATAAACTATATGGGGAAATTACGGTCCATTCTTCACAGAAGCCAGCCGTTACTCAATCCGTTTTGATCTGAGACTGGCGAAGAGGTCGCTTCATCACCGTGAGATACCAGAGAGCGGAAAGGATGACTTGAACTTGAGGCAGAAGATCCAAAAGACGCGTACTGACGGCTGAGAGGCGGATGAGAAGAGCGAAAACCATCAGATCCGTAACTGCTGTCCGAAGTCGAAAGCTGGTCCGAGAAGGATGAAATTCGGTGCATCTAAAACCATAACGGAGATATTGTTGAAAGAAGTCTGAAAGATAGTACAGCAAAGTATCTTACCCCATTGGACGAAGGAGTGTCGTCGCGCCACTTCCTAAAATCTTCCATGAGCGTACTGCTCGACATGGAAGTCTTGAACTCCAACGAGAAGCCTTTTGCTTCGTCTCCAAACTTCAGATTGGTGTTCGGTGTGCTCCATGTCGTCGACAGGGGCTGCCGGAAGAACTCCCTCGACACTTCCGGTTGCGTTCTAGGTGAACTTCCGGCGCTGGAAGAAAACTCCTGGCCTGACTCGTACTGTTTTCCATTCCCATTTCTTAACGACGAAAAGAAGCCTTGAGAGTTAATCTGCGGCGGAAACATGTGGTTCAAGGTCTGCAACGGACTGGATTGCATTCGCGAAGCTTGACGCGGAAACGAAGGAGTGGAACCAGAAGCAGGGAAAGAAGGCACATCACGATGCGAGTTCATGGCTAGGGGACTCTGTCGAAAGACCGAAGTATGTCTGTTCGTTCCATTACTCAGCTCCATATTCCTGATACCGTTTGCCAAAACATCTGTGGGCGGAAGACTGCGCGAAGCAGTCAACGGTTGATGGAAGTTCCGATGTAAAACGTTCGGTTGATTGAACTGACTGCAATGGCTTGATTGACTAGGTATACTCGCTTGGTTCATCTGGTTGGCTCTGTCCTCCAGAATAGGGAAACTGGGAGAGTGCGTGAGGTGGGCTTTTCTAGACCG